TTAAAAACAGGATCCCAAAGCCAATTCCATCATTTCCTTTCATGTCTTTGCTGTAGTTTACAAGCAGCACATGAATGGAAAGCAGTCGGGGTGGAGAGCCGACCTCCTCTGGGGACCACTCCCTTAGCAGACAGGCTTGATTGACAGCAGCTTTGACTGGGTTGTGTTCCCTGTAGAGGGTCAGGAGTCCCGAAAGGACATGTGGTTTGCTGCTTGGTTCTCTGCTGGGACCAGAGCAATGGTTCCTGACTCATGTTTAATCACGGCTCAGGATGTCTGTTGCCATAGACACGGGATGAGGCTGATGTGATTGTTGCCATTCGCTTCATGGGCTGGTTACAAGTGACCTTTTGTTGTTTTGTTTATTTCCAGACAGGGTTTCTCTGTGTAGCCTTGGCTGTCCCAGAACTCTCTGTAGCCCAGGATGGGCTTGAACTCAGGGATCCGCCTGTCTGCCTCCTGAGTACTGGGATTAAAGGCGTGTACCACCAGATCCTGCTAAAAGTGACCTTTTAAAACAGAGGCTGAATTATCTTTCCTGCCAAAACAGGGGGCCCCAGGGATCATGCCGAATGAACTCATGTTTTGACAATCATCTTTAAAACTTATTTTCTGGAACTTCCCTGGGATGTGTATTGAGCCTCTCCAAATTGAAGTTTCCAAAACCATACAAGGTTAAACAAACAACAAACAAACAAATAAAACAAAACAAACAAACAAAAACTTCTTTGCACCCCGCCTTCACCTCAGGAAGGAGGGAGATATCTTCTCAGTACCCCCCCTTCACTGGCCTCCTCAAAAGGGGCCCCAGGAAGAAAGTGACCCAGGGCCTTCTCTGTGATCCCCTCCCCCAGTGCCTCTCCCTCAGTGGAGAGCCCAACAGAGACAAAAGGCGGGAAGGGTGAAGACTGATCCTGATGGTGATCGTGGGCACGCTACACCGTCACCTCCCTCACCACAGCAGTGACTGCACCCCTTCACCTCCTTCACCATAGCAGGGTCTCAGTTCACTTGTCCTCTGCAGAGTGGTTTCTAGTTTTGTTTTTGAGACAGGGTCTCACAGCATAGCCCAGGTTGACCTTGATCCTCCTGCCTCAGCTTTCCAAGTTCTGGGATTACAGACACCTTACTCAGCTGAAAAATGGACTCCATAATGAAACCTGTTGGATTTAAAATGCAAGCACTGGGACTGGAGAGATGGCTCAGCGGTTAAGCGCACTGGCTGTACTTCCAGAGGTTCTGAGTTCAATTCCCAGCACCTACGTGGTGGCTCACAACCATCTGTAACGTGATCTGGCGCCCTCTTCTGCTCTGTGGTGCAGGCAGAGCATTGTATGCCTAATAAATCTTGAAAAATAAAAATAAAATGCAAGCACCTCTGTAAGTCACATCATCTGGTCATGTCGTCCCCTTACAATGCAGTGACATTAAGAGTCTTCTGCAGTTCTGGTGAGGTGGCCACGAGTGGCTTCCAACAGTGCTTGTCTTAAAATGTCCTGGCTTCCAATTGCTTTTCGGGATATAGCAATCTTGGCTGTTATTTGTTTTCAATGATTGAAAAAATATCATTCCATGCTTTCTTGGCCTGAGGAAACTCTGATGTGAGATTTGTTAATTCTAATGTTTTTGCCTTCATAAGTGAGGGTTTTTTTTCCTTCATAGCTTTTCTTATTTTTTGAGATTATAATTTTTTTAAAGATTATTTATTTATTATGTATACAATATTCTGCCTGCATGTATCCCTGAAGGCCAGAAGAGGGTGCCAGATGTCATTACAGATGGTTGTGAGCCACTATGTGGTTGCTGAGAACTGAACTCAGGACCTTTGGAAGAGCAAGCAGTGCTCTTAACCTCTGAGCCATCTCTCCAGCCCTGAGATAATTTAATTACAACTTTTCTCTCTTCCTTTTCCTCTCTCCAAACCCTTCCTTATCCCCCTCCCCACTCTTCTTCAAACTCATGGCCAATTTTTTCACTAATTGTTATTGCATGTGTATTTGTACATGTATATACATATTCCTAAATATAATCTATTCAGTCTATATAATGTTACTTGTATGTTTTCAGGGTTGACCATTTGGTGCTGGATAACCAATTGGTGTGCTTTTCTTGGGGAAGACCACATTCCCTGCTCCTACCTTTTCTCAGTTGCCTGTAGTTTGTGTAGAGTTGAGGCCTCATGTGGTTCCCCCCAGTTTAACATGTTCATTGGTGTCCTTGTTCCGCTCATGTTTGGGCAGTCATGTTGGTGAGACTCTATGGGTGTAGCTTCTGATGTTACCAGAAGACACAATCTCACAGCATACCCTCCCGTCCTCAGACTCACACAGTCTTTCTGCCCCCTCTTCCACACTGTTCGCCGAGCCCTGGGTGCAGGAGTGTTTTGTTGTGTGTCCACTGGGACTGGGCTCCACAACTCCGTGTTCTGATTGGTTGTGGTATTCTGTACTGGTCTCCTTTTGTTGCAAAGAGAAATTTCCTCAATGGGGCATGACGACTACATGTATCTGTGGCTATAAGGATAAATTTTTATAGTTGTTGTTAGGGATTGTGATGGGTTAGTAAACTAATGTTGTGGGTTCTCTTCCAAGACCCATTTCAACTAGCACTGACTAGTTAGCTAGGTCTTCAGCTCCAGGGCATGCTTTCCCTCTTGTTGAGCAGGTCTTAAATCCTGTTGAGAACTGTTGGTTACTGCCAAGCTGTGTGTGCCACTGCTGCAGCCTTAGGGCTCTCATGCCATGCCGCTTCTTAATATGATTCATAGGCGTCACATCTGGATATGACATCTGGTTGCCCTTCCTTTGGAAGCTTGCGTGACATCTTCTAACAAAACGTCAGACTCAGAAAGACACCATGTGGTTTCCCCGGCTCATGTGTGTGTTTATATGTGTGTGTTTGTCAGTTATAAAGCTAGAAAAGATCATGAGTGAAGAGGAAGAGGTCTTAAGGAAGGTGGGGAACAAGGGGGGTAATGGACAATACGCAGAAGGAGAGCAGAAACAGGGACTAACTGGGAAATGAATGGAGGTGGGGGTAGGGAGTGAAACGGGAGCAGAATTAATGAGAACAAAGTATGACACATATGAACAAGCCATGCTGGAACTTTGTATGCTAAGCTAAAAAAATAAAAATAATTTCAATGGTATCATCCAAGACCTTATTAAGTGAAACACACACACACACACACACACACACACACACACACACATACACACACCATGAGTGTGCTGTGGTGAAGAACCAGGCCAGGAGCCAGGATGTACCTAGAGTCATCATCCAGTTACTATCTAGGATGTAGTTAGAGCCATTCATTACCCAGTGTCCGAAGCCCTGGGTTTGTCCCCAGCACTTCACGACCCAGGCATGGTGGCACACACCTGTAATCTCAGCACTTGGGAAGCAGAGGCAGGACCAAGTCCAAGGTCAGCCTCGTGTACTCACCGGGAGGCCAGGTTTGGTGTCACAAGGCGAGACAAAACAGAATCAGGACAGCTCTGCCTTTGGAACCCTTGGGTCCTTTCTCTTCTGCTTTTCTTTTCAATATATTTCACATCTCAATAAACCCCACTCTGACCTTTGAAGTCGGAGCCGCTACCATCACCTAGATTACTCCAGAGATTAAGTCATCCATTTGGGACTGTTCACACAGCCTCTCCCCTCTGCCCACCGCAATCTACAATAGCTTGTAGGTAGCCCATCCTTGGTTGGGCTTTGTTTTTCTTCCTAGCACTTTTGGACATCGGAGTGGACCTGTATGCGTGTGGGGTCTTGTTTTTGCCGCACTGAGGATTGAACCTAGGGCCTGTACTTACCAGGTAGGTGCTCTGTCACTGAGCTGTGTCAGTAACCTCCTATTTACTTTTTATTTATACAAATGTATGGAACCAAACGGGTTCTCTAGAAAAGCAGCAAGCACTCCTAACCATGAAGCCTTTTCTCCAGTACACCCCCTCTTTTAATTTTTAAAAACAGTTTTCGTTATTTTTTCAAGGGTTTGTTATGTATATGGGTGTTTGGGCTACATGTCTATGCACCACGTACATGCAGTTCCCACAGATGCCAGGAGAGAGTATTGGATCCTCTGGAGTTGGAATTGCAGACCGTTGTTAGTTGCCTGATATCAATACTGGAAACCAAACCCAGGTCCTCTGCAAGAGCAACAAGTGTTCTTAATCACTGAGCCTTCTCTCCAGCCCTCAAATGTTTTTTATGTGTGTTCATGTGTCTGCTTGAGTTTACATGCACCATATGTGTACAGAGCCCTCAGAAGAGGCTCTCCATTCCCCTGGGATTGGACCTACAGGCAGCTGTGAGCCACCATGTAGGTGGTGGGAACCAAACTCTGGTCCTCTGCAAGAGCAACAGGTGCTCTTAACCACTGAGCCAGGGGTCCAGCCCCAGCTTCCAGAGTGGCTGGAATTACAGCATGTCCCCAGGCACAGCATGCATATTTTAAATTTGTCTTGACTATTAGAAGTTCCCAGGTGGAAGCTATTTGATTCCTTCATCTGGAGCTAGGTCAACATGTAGCAGGCCCTCAATTAACGTGTGTTGGAGGAAAGAAAATGTGGGTCCTTGGGGGTGTCAGTGCCCAACCCAACCCCCGAAATGATCCCCAGGAGACTTCCCATTGCTGTCCCTCTCCAGCTCCTTTTCTATCCTTTCCTGTGCTCTTGGCCACGTGCACAGACAGCCCTTTCTTCAGGACTGTCCTATTTCAACACGAGAGACACGTGCACAGTTCGGACGCTGTTCACTGTCCGCACCCAGACTCAAGTGAGGAGACCTGGACCCCAACCTTCCTGTGCCTCAGTTTCCTCATTAATAAAATGGCAGATCTATGGCTCTTGGGTTTGCTGTGAAAATTGAATGAAAAAGACATTTTTGCATATTGATTATCAGGGGCAGCTATTTTGAGATGGTGGTGATGGAATTTGATTCTTCAAGACTTGACTTTAATATACAGAATTACTGGAGAGTTGGGGACAGAGGTAGGGAACCATCCAGAAGGGAAGGAATGTGAGGCCACGTCGGGCACTTCTGACTCGGTGATGTGTGATGTGTGGCAAGATGGGCGACTGAGGAGGGGAGCGATCAGGGTGATACTGGGCAGGCTAGCAGCTGCTGACGGCAGGGACTTGGTGACTCTTCTGAGTTGCTTCTTGCCTGTGGGTGGGGAGGGAAGTCCTAGACCATGATGCCCTTGGCAGGTGCCTGGCAGCAGGGAGGAAGGTGGCTGGAGGACACAGAACACTGCAGAGGCAGAGCACAGTGAGCGGGTAGGACCTGCAGAAAGTCTTGGGGTGTCCTGGGGGCAGAGGCGGGGGTGGCAGGCAAGGAGGCGGAGGAAGGGGCCTGCGGTGCCTGACTGAGAGCAGCTGAATTCTAACGCTCCACTCGCCTTTCCTCATTTCTTGAGATTGTTGGGTGAGGTATAGGCTTCCCCGATTTCCTGTATTCTCTGTTGGGCTCAGTAAGGTGAGGTAGGCGGTCCAAGATGGCTGCCTTGAGCAAGGCACAGCGTCTCAAAAGCTAGACCCGCAGCAGCTCCGCATGTTTCCTGCATGGCTTTATTCTACAAGCGACCCACGGAGGGACCTGTGGCATCCTGACATCACTCTTGCCTTCCCTAAAGTATCTTCTCTCTCTTTTCTTGGACTATTTTTATTTTCGATTGTATGCAGGTGTGTGTCTGTGTGTGGGCGTGTGCACGTCCACAGTTGCCCGTGGAAGCCTGAAGGGTCCGATTCCCCCTGGAGCTGGAGTTCTCAGGGTTGGGAGCTGCCTGGTGTGTGGGTGCTGGGAACCGAACCCAGGTCCTCTGCACGATCAGTACGCACTCTTAACTGCTGAGCCATCTCTCCGGCCCCTGACTCCTTTACTCAGAAATGTTTATTGACTGATCAATGCTAAAGACAGCATGGATTTTCTGAATCATGAACTAATCTTTGTTACTAATTAATTATACTAGAATGCTTTTAAAATTATCTAGGCTGCTTTGGACACTACAGAGAGGCTGGCAGGATGACAGCTTGTGTCCTGTAGATGTCCCTTGCTATAAAAAAGCAACACAAGCTTATTAAAGGAAAAGTACAAAACTGAATAAAGCCCAAAATAAAAGAGCCCTTTCTCCTTCCCACCACCCCCACATCCTTAACTCGCTGCCATGGGAGGTACGGCTATGTATAGCCCGTCAGACGGTTTCTAAAGTGATCTTTTCATAATGTGTTTAGAAAAAAAAGTCAGCTCCACTTCCTGTCCTTAGCTTGTCTCCACAGCAGATGGCCTTTTGGAGGCCCAGGCGTTGAACCTCACCCTGTTCTATGACTGCAGATTGCCTCCCCATGCAGCACTGTGTAAATCTTCTCCAGGGACGATGGTCTGTGGCCCTTAACATGAAAAACTTAGCCACAAAGCCATCAACTTAATTTGCAAAGGGATCCTCGCGGGGCGGGGGTTGGTGGGGAGGGCGGGTAGCAGTTTGTGTCCTTTGTAAAGCACCGGCTGGTGGCCAGGTGCCATGTGCCTCTCCCCTAAGGGAACTCTAAACCTCCTCTGGGAACAATGAGGTCCCACGTGGAGCTGGACGATGGCCAGTCCCAGAGACCCGGAGCAGCAGAGGTGTGGCTAGGTCGGAGTCTTGCTGTAGGGCAGCCCACAGCCCCAGCAGAGCATGCGAGGCACGCTCCCCATTTCCTTCAGGCCTTGGGTTGTTAACACTGAGAAACAGAACACAAGCTGGTGTGTGTCTGGGAAGAGCTCCACCTAGGAAGACAGACTTCCGGTACGGACCAGTGATAGTGTCTCTCCAGTGAGACAATGCCATCACATGGAACATTGGAGGTCCCACCAAGATCTGTGGGATCATATGTGCTGCAGGATTATTTGTTAGTATTTTTTTTTTTTTTTTGCATTGGCAACCATTCAGATGTCCATGGACAAGTGTTCTTGAGTGTGAAATGCTCTGCAGAAGCTCATGCGTTTGAACCCTTAGGTCTCTGTTGGTGGTGCTGTTAGGGAAGGCTGTGGCCCCTCTAGCAGGCTGAGCCCCTCTGGAGGAAGTGGGTGGATGGGGAAGGAGGTTATGGGGTATAATCTGGGCCTGCTTCCATCCGAAGCCCTGCTTCCTCACTGCCCATGTGACAGGACCAGCGTCACACGCTCCCTCTGCCCGGCCGTGAGCCATTCCTACCTCACAGCGTGATGTACTGTACCCTCTCGACCCACAAGCCAGAATCCTTCCTCCCTCAAAGAAGCGTTTTTTCAGGTCCTTTATCACAGCGACGAGAAGTAACCAACGCGGCAAGAGGATGAACAGAGGCTCTCTTACAGGGTGGGCCACGTGGTAGCACTGGAAAGGAGCAGGTGGATCTTAAACCACGATTGACAGAACAGATTGATATGTGTGGTGTGAGACCACATAAGGACCTACAAAGTGTTAGATCCACGGAACTGGTAGCAAAATCGCCAGAATTCTATTACTGATGACTTCAGAGCAATAAGAAGAGGAAGGACTTCCTCATGGGGCCATACTGGGAACGTCACCTTCATGTGGACTTTCTTTTTCTTTCTTCTTTACTTCCTTTCTTTAACTTAGAGCCATCCCTTTTTCCTCTTTTGTTTTTCACTCAGCTTGAAGGTGACAAAATCGGAGATGTATGTATCTACACACACACACACACACACACACACATACACACACACGCACACGCGCACACGCACACACACACACACACACTGGGTGTATATATGGTACACAAGTTGTTTCTTTTTTAGTCTGTGTCTTAGTTACTCTTCTGTTGCTGTGAAGAGTCACTATGACCAATGAAACTTATAAAATACAGCATTTAATTGGGGGCTTGCTTACAGCTTCAGAGGGTTAGTCCATTATTGTTATGGCAGGAAGTGTGGCGATAGGCAGGCAGGCACTGTGCTGGAGCAGTAGCTGAGAGCTCACACCTGGTACCTGATCCACAAGTTGCAGGGAGAGAGTGAGGGGGATGTGGGGGCTTTTGAAACCTCAAAGCTCACCTGCAGTGACACACCTTCCTCCAACAAGGCCACACCTCCTAATCCTTCCCAAACAGTTCCACTAACTGGGGGCCAAGCATTGAAACAGATGAGCTTATGGGGGCCGTTCTCATTCAAACCACCGCAGTGTGTGTGGTGTGTGTGTATTGTGTATGCATGTGTGCAGGTGTGCTCACCTGCGCGTGCATCTGTGGAGGCCAGAGCTCCACACTGGGTGTCTTCTGCTATTGCTCTCAAACTTACTTTTTGAGACAGCATCTGTCATGGAACTTGAAGATCACTGCTTAGCCTAGGCTGGCCGGCCAGTGAGCCCCTGGGTTCCCCCATTTCTCTCCTTCGGTATTGGGTTTACAGACACACACTGCTGTGCCCAGCTGTTACATGGGTACTGCAATCTGACTTAGGGCCTCATGCTTGCCCGGCAAGCACCTCCCCACAGAGCCAGCTCACCATAATATTTTATTATACATATCTGCTATAAAAGGATTGTCACAAGCTAGTTACCATGTCCCTAATTCTGCATCGTTATCTTTTATTTCACTTGCTAAAGCGCTGACAATCTATTCTCGTAGCAACTTTCAAGTGCAGGACTCACTGCTGCTCATGACAGCCATCATGTTCTGGATCTCAGAATTCACTCATCCTGCCCAGCTGAAGCTTTGATCCCCATGTGCCACATTTCCCTATTCTTTCTCCCCAGCCCCTGGCATCCACCATTTGGTTCCTTGCTTCTGTGGGTTTTTCCAATCCCATACATAAATGTTAGGACTGTGCCTGGTTTATTTCTCTGAGAGAATGGCCTACAGATTCACCCACAGTCACAAATGGCAGGATTTCCTTCTTTAAGGCTGAGTAATATTCCAGGGCAGGTGAATACCATGTTTCCATTGCCCACTTATCTGTAAATGGGTACAGGCTGATTCCATATTGCAGCTATTCAGGACAACATTGCAAGAAGAGGGGAATGCACTTACCTCTTTGATATTCAAATTTCATCCTTTTTGGCACAGTTCTATTTTTAAGTCTTTCTTGAGGGACCTACATACTGTTCTCCAAAATAGCAACATCATTTTAAACCCTTCCATCTCTGCCATGGGTGTCTGTCTCTTCATCTCACCAATGCTAGTCTTCTGTTTTGTTTTTTTTTTAATCAGCTGTCCTAACAGATGGTCGATGCTGGGTGTGGTTTCTGTATACTTGCCAGCCACTTGGGTGCCTTCTTTTGAGAAATATCTACCCAGTTCCTCTGACCATTTCAAAAATGTTAAGATTGCATTATCCCTTTTTAAGACAGGGTCTTTTGCTGGGCGGTGGTGGTACACGCCTTTAATCCCAGCACTTGGGAGGCAGAGTCAGCCAGATCTCTGGGGGTTTGAGGCCAGCCTGGTCTACAGAGCGAGATCCAGGACAGGCACCAAAACTGCACGGGAAACCTTGTCTCAAAAAAACAAAAACAAAAAGACAGGGTCTTTCAATGTAGTCCAGGCTGAGGTCAAGCTTGCAGTCAGCCTCCTGCGTGCTTGGTGGGATTACGGGTATGCATCATGGCCCCAGCTCTTAGTCCATTTGTTTTGTTTTGAAAAATATGATTTTTTTCTGGCTATTGAGTTGACTTCCTTAGGTGTCCTGGATGTTAGCTCCTTGCCAGATGCACACCTGCAAACACACGCTCCCATGCCCGGGGGCTGAGGGGGCGTTCATTTTTTTCCTTTGCACATGTTCTTAGCTCGCTTGCTTTCTCCATAGGCTGGCACTGTACAAAACTCACAGCCCATCGATCTCGGTTTGCTTTTGTTGTTATGCTTTGGAGCAGTGTCATAAAAGTCCTGAAATGAAGCTGTCCCTTATGTTTTTCTCTATAAACTATGGTCTAGGGTTTCAGGTCTTATGTTTGAGCTTTAATCTATTTTGAGTTTCCTTTGAATACAGTGGGAGAAAAAGATCTGATTTGATTCTTCTGCATGTGGATATCCAGTTTTTCCCCACACTGTGTATTGAAGGGATCGTTTCCTCACTGTGTTCCCTCGGCAGCTTTGTTGAAGATCAACTGTCCACAAATGCATGTGGACTCTATTCAATTCTACTGGCCTAAATACTTGCTCTTACACCAGCACCACACTGTTTTGATTACTATAGCTTTGTGGCATACTTTGAAATCAAATAGTGAAAGGCCTCTAGCTTTGTTATTTTGGGGCAAAAAAATGCTTTATGTAGGATTTTCTGTGGTTCTATTTGAATATTAGGATTTTTTTTTTTTTTTTTGGGAACTGGCCTTGTTTTTTTTTTCTGAGATAGGGTCTCACTCTAAAGACAAGGCCAGTCTCAAACACAGAGGTCCACCTGCCTCTGCCTCACAAGTGTTGGGATTAAAGGTGTGTGTTGCCGTACCTGCTGCCATTAAATTTTTTTTATAAGAGTTGCAATCTATAGATTGAGACTCACAGACATTTTAGTGACATTAATTCTTTTAACCCCCAAACAGAGACTATTTCTTCAGTTATTTGTGTCTTCTTTTATCAGTGTTTCACGGCTTTTAGTCGACAGATGTTTACCTTCTTGATTAAGTGTATCCCTGAGTATCTCTGTGCTACCGTGATGGGATTGCTTCCTTGATTCCCTGGTTCAGTTGTTTGCTGTTACTGTACAGAAATGCTGCTGGTTTTCTCTTTGTGTGTGTATTCATGTGTGTCAAAATATGTGTGTAGACACATGCACACATGTCTGTGTGTGCGTGTGGACACCAGAGGTTGTTGTCAGGTACATTCCTCAAATGATCCCCACATTAATTTTGGGGACAGGGTCCCCCATTGAACCTAGAGCTCACTGATTTGGCTAGAGTGGCCGAGCAGCAAGCCCTGAGATCTTCTTGTCTCTGTCTCCCCAATGCTGGAACGGCAGGCCTGCACCAGCATGCCCACGTCCTATGAGGGCATCAGGGATCCACACTCAGGCATCCACACTCACACAGGAAACACTTTAGCTACCGAGCCATATCTGCAGCCATACATCTTTATGTTGGATTTATGGTCTTGTTACTTTACTGAATTGGCTTATCAGCTTTTGGATCTTTTTTAAAAAATATTTATTTTATTATTTCTTTATGTATATATGTCTGTGTATATCAGTGTCTGTGTATGTCTGTGAATGTGCCAGAGGGCTGGGGATGTAGCTCTGTTGGTAGGGTTCCTGCCTAGTGAACACAAAGTCCTGGGTTCAGTCCCCAGCACTGCATAAATGTGGCAAGGGTCAGGAAGCAATAGGATCAGGAGTTCAAGGCCATCTGCTGCTACATAGCAAGCTTAAGGTCATCCTGGGATTATGAGACTCTCCCTCCAAAGCAAGTTGGTAAATAAACTGTAACTGGGTACATGTCTAACAAAATTAGAATCCAGAATTTGGAGAGAAAGCTATACACCAAAGTTATAGCAGCATTATTCACAATAGGCAAAGGCTGGAAACATCCCATAACGCACCCAGTGATGAATGGATAAAAACGTGGTGTTTAGAAAGGAACGAGGCACCTAGGTTAATGCCTCAGGGAATAAAGTGCAAACTTGAGATCCAAACCCCACATAATGCCTGGTGGCTGTGGTGATCCACATTTGATTCCAAGGCTCAGAAGGCAGAGAAAGGCAATCACTGGAGCAAGCTGACTGTGGGCACTAGCTTCATGGGTAGTCTCTGGGTTTGAGTGAGAGACTCTGCCTCATGAACACTGTGGAGAATGATTGAGGAAGACCCCAGATGTCAGCCTCAACCATCCCCCACCCCACACACATAAAGAATGAAATTCTGGGGCTGGACGGATGGCTCAGCAGTAAAGAGCACTGGCTTCTCTGCCAGAGGACCCAGGTTCAATTCCTAGCACCTACATGGCAGCTCACAACTGTCTGTAACTCCAGTTCTAGGGTAATTGACATCCTCACACAGACATACATGCAGGCAAAACATCAACGCAAATAAATCTTTAAAGCAGTGGTTGCCCAACACTAATACGTTAACACCGCTGAATTGTCACTTAAAAGGTTTAGGGAGTTCTGTGTATATTTATCACAATATAAATAAGTCAGTGAATAAGGCAAACTAGTAAAAATGCAGTGTAAGGCACTTTAAAAGTCTGTCTACACATAGAATAAATTAGAAAAAAAAATTTTAAAGATCACATAGAATAAATTTTTTTAAAAAAATTTTAAAGTCTGTCCCTACATAAAAACCAGTGGGAGAATATAGTAAAAATCGTTAGGATCAAGTTTTTCAGAACTCTGGAAACCAGGGTCTTAAAGGAACCAGAAGAATGCCTAGAAAGAAAACCAGCCAGCCCACAGGAAGGTCAGCTTTGTGGTGTCTTAGTTGATTTGAGTCCGCCGCCGCTGCTTTCAAAGAATTATGGGGCATACAAAGAGCCAAGAAAGGACGGTCTGCAGGGGTGGGGGGTGGGGGGTGGGAGGTGGGTGCTGCACACAGTGCTAGGGACGAACCCAGCCTCAACCACTGAGCCACCGTCCCCAGACCAACTAGCTATTTTCAGAATAATCAAAGAACTAAATATAGAAAAGGAAATTATGGGAACAGTGAATGAACAGATAGATATTATTAATAAATAGCCAGAACATAAAAAAAGGCCCACATAAGAATTTGGAGGAGAAAATCATAATCACCACCCAAGAAATTCCATAGAGCATTTCGGTAGCAGATCAGAATATCGAAAAGACTGGTTAACTTACATCAATCACGATAGTCAGGGCTGAGAAACAAAGATACATGAACTGGGATACCAAAGCACAACAGCATATGTGTACTGTAAAGAGAGAGATAAAGGAACAGAAAGGGGGTAGAGATAGCCAAGGTAACAACGGCCAGAAAAGCTCATATATGATGAAAACGTGACTCTATAGAGACAAGAGGCCCAACAAACAAGTCAGATAAACATGAATAGTCTCATTATTCACAATAGCCCCAAGGTAGAAACTGCCCTCTCATAAGAGGAGAATGAATGTGGGTAATAGTACATGTGTGTCCATATATCTGTTTATACATGCATGTCCATACATGTAATATTAGCCAGCCTTATAAAGGAATGAATCACTGACACACACAGGAATACAGATAGCCTCGAAATCATCATGCCACATAAAAGATATCAGACATAGAAGTACATGATCTAGCAAAGATGACCGTTCAACGTAAGGAAATGCATGGGGATGCAAGGTAGACTGGAGGTTGCCAGGCCAGAGAAACAAGGGGAATGGGATTGTAAACAGCCTGACAAATCTTGAAATATTTCAGCAAAAAATTCCAAGCTGTTTAATTCCAAAGTCAAACTAACAAACTTGATATTTGTTCAAGTATCAGTATGTTATCTACTTTAAGCCATAAATCATAACCATAATTTTTTTCTTTTTTTTTTTGAAAATAATTTACAATGTTTAGTTTGGAAATTGATAGTTTGAGTTAGTTGAACTAGTATGCTGTATATTCTCATTTTAAGTGCTGGAAGCTGCTGAATAAATCTGTCTTTTCTTTGAAGGAGAAAGTGAGTCTTTGATTTTATTCTGTGACCTAAGATGACAAATGGGATTTTTCTTGTGAAATGACTGATTGGTTGGTAACGACTGCCTATTCTGAGAAGTATTCTAAGGAGGGAGTTCAGGCTCAGGGGAAGGGTGCAGGGTTGGATTAGTGATGTCTGCTTTGAGCATGGCACTGAAGAGCTGATTATCTGCAAGGTCAGTCAATTAACATTTTCTTTTATCGGATATCCTGGAGAGTGAAGGAAATAACAGATTTCCCAAACACCTCATCTTTGGGGGTGGTAAGCAGTCTCTTGGCTTCATAAACATAATCAAAGAGGAATCAATGAGATTTCCTTCAAAAGTATTGGACTTTTCAAAAAGAAAAGTACCATTTTTGTTAAAAGTTCGTGGTTTTACAAGTAACCTTTCAATTATACTCCTGTAAGTGACCTCCAATAAATCACTGGTTCACCAGGCTAGACTTGGATGAAATCATTCCTTCTGTCTGCTGCTGTGTTCTCTATCTGGGGTGAATAGAAACAGACTCCTCAAGAAAAGGTCACTTAACAGTCCCCTCCCGGTCGAGAGCAGCCATAGCTTTGTCCCAGTTCCCAGCTCTGCTCCTGCCCCTGATAAAAACCAGTCATGGCCTGGCAGGGAGGAAACTCATGGAGATGGCTCACCACCTCCGGGCTGGAAGCATCTGGGTTCGCCCTTCCCCTGCCAATCCCCAGGTGGGTGACTCTAGGGAAGTGACCAATCTGGGCCATTGTGTCCTTGTCTGGGAAACATTTCCTTTGTTCTTCCAGGGAGGCTATAGGTTGAGAATAAGCAAATGCACAGGAAAGATCGTAGGGACTTTCAACATCAAACAATGGACAGATTGGTTCTCACTGCCCAAACCCACTCCCTTAGGGGACATCAGGGGCCACCACTTTCTTAGGATCCACATTCCGTTTCCCCAAACCGCCTCTCTTTGGTCACCATCATCCACCAAGTGAATCTCTTCTGAGAGCCCATGCCAGCAGCCCACGAGCCCTCCGGATTTCTATGGAGTTATGTCTTACCATGATGTTGTCAACGCTCATCAAGTCTAGAAGTTTTATGAAACCAAGGCTGCTCTCAGCAACTGGAGAGGAGATCCCGCCTGGCCACATGGTTTCCTAGAACCTGTCCAGTAGTTTAGCTTGGACCCACAAGCTGACTGAGAGCATGGAGGAAGAAAACTGGGCTCAATCTCCAGGAAACCATCCTGGCAGTATGAGGGACTGGAGACACCTCACTCTGTCAGGCAGCTTGTATCAGTGGAGGCAGGAGCTGAGCAGGAGGTAGCCTGTGGCTACAACTAAGGACCTAGTCATCTTGCAAAGAGAGAGTCTTCTTAGTGATACCCAGAAAGCATCTCCCAGAGTAACCTCGTCAAGGCTGGGTAAGAACACACATTTCATGCTGTTTCTCTTAAGTCTAAATGTTTGCTGAGTGATGCCGTGGTAACCGTGACACCATAATGGAACATTCTTCCCAAGGCGTAGAAGAAACTCCGCCGTAGAGCTCTGCTGCATAAGGCCACAGTGAGTTCATTTCTCCTTTAGTGGGCACAGTTCACGGACGAACTCGCAGCACCATCCTGAGGACAAAAGAAACATCCCATGTCATGAGGGGAACATGGTGACTTAGAATGGGGCGCAGTTTCCCTGGGTCACGGAACACAGTCTGAGGCCAGGATGTGAGGCGAAGCCCCCACGGGCTTAGGGGTTCAGATAGTCTTGAGCTCACCTTCCAGGTCCACCGCTTAGTTGTGTGACCTTGAGCCTGTGTCTCGGTGTCTCTGAGTGTCCGTTTTCTGAGTCTGTAACATGGGGATTACGAGAGCGCCTGTGTCTAGGGTGGCTATATGAATGGACCGAGCTAAATGCTGAGGCTGTTGGCTAGTGAAGACATCCCCGCAAGACTTGATGTGAGTTTTAATAGGAGGGTGACATCACAGTAAGACACTGATCCCCGGGGAAGCTCCCACCGACACCCTGTCTTTTTTCCCCCCCCCAGCAGTGTTTTATGGCTATACAGTTAAAGCAAGGGTTGAATTCCACAAATCAAAAACCAACCCTTTTTAGAGAACCAACTCTCTAGCACACCCAGAGCCCCAGGCTTCTCCGAGAAGAAAACTGGAGAAAGCAGACGACCCTCTCTCCTTGGGCCGGCTCACAAACTGCTAGCCAAGCATTGGAGCCAGGCAGCCGCTTCCCGCCTATGTCTGCACTGAACCCAGAGCTGGGGATGTGACAGGTCAGTTGACCCCACCCGTGGCCTTGGGTGGTAAAAAGGAACAGGCTTCCACAGTGGGCGTCACCCCGTTCGGGCGTGGGAAGGTGATGGAGTTACGGGTCTTCTGTCTTCCCAGCTGCCCATGGTGCTCGCTGCGTCTCTCTCTGGGGATGGCAGAGTTGAGAGAGGTACTGCTGGTCCTGCTGTACATGGCCCACTCGTCATCTGCCAGTGAGTGTGACAGCTGGAGCCTGGGGTGGGATGGGGTGGCGGGCCATCCAGGAAAATGCAGTGGCCCTTAATGCCCAGGGAGGGACTCACTCGGCAAGGAAGCTGATCCCCAGAACTCTGTCCTGGGTGGCATGTGTGAGTGGCAGGGACCGGGTAACACAGAGTGTCAGGGCATGGGTGTGGGGCAAATTCTAAGGGTGGGGGACAGTTAGGAAAGTCAGCTCTAGGGCACAGAATGGCCCATGGGGCAGAGAGATCAGTATGAGAACTGCCTCTCACACTCAGCTCAACCCTGCCCACCTGGAGTACGTTGAGCTCTGCAAACTGTGATCCTGATCAGGACTAGCTGGGCCCACCACAGCAAGGGTCTCTCGGGTAGCAGAACTGGCCGCTATGGTCCCCTCCTCCCTGACCTGAGGCTGCTCAGGACTACCAAGTCCAGCTTAGGAAAAGGCAGGTGAAGAGGGAACAGATGACTCAGACAGGTTCTGTTCACCTTTGCTGCCATTGGCTAGTTAGGTGCACACACACACACACACACACACACACACTATGCAAAGGCCCCACGCCTTCCTCAGCCTCCTCCTTTTCCCTGCCAAGGAGACCAAGAGACGGTCAGAAACACAGACATGGCATTTCTCCCACTAAGCCATTGCTGAGACCCAGAACAGACATTTGGTCTGGACCAACTTTTCTCATCATGGCATTAGAGATGGAATCAGGCACAAGGCAAGGACTCTGCACAAGTACTTTACTACTGAGCTTCTTCCCCAGCACTCAAAGAGCGTTTGGAAAAAGGAATGTCGCCACATACATGGAGGTTCTTGGCTGGGGAAGGATTGGCTAATCCCTGTATTACAGATCGTCTGTGTCTCCAGAGAAAAATCAGAGCATAGACAAGGAATGTCATTGTTGGAATTTCTGAAGCAGCCCTAGTGTGGTCCCAGCAGAGTCTGTTTAAGGGTCAATGGATGGAAATTGGTCCCAGGATACCCCATAATGAAGAGGTCCTCTGAATTCTTTTTGTTATTTGTTTTGTTGCTGAGACTGAGTCTTACTTTGTAGCATTGGTCAGCCTGGTGCTCAGTAGGTAGACCAGGCTGGCTTTGATCCACCTGTCTCTGCCTCCTGGGTGCTGGGATTAAAGTCATATGCTTCCATACCCAGCCCTCTCTGAGTTCTTGGCAGTACTGTGGATGACAATGTTTCGGAAATGTCTTTGCTGCCAACATCCTAGGTCACTACCAGAAGAAGCCCTTCCACTCTGTTTTCCGAATACTCCGCACAGCCTTGGGGTCACATCTCCCCGTATAGCCATCAGTCCATCGAATGTCACTGTCACAGACTCCCAAAGTCCATCCCTGCAAGCTTAGTTCCCAACCCAGTGCCTGGCAGGGTTCTCTGCAGGTGGCTGAATGGCTGAAAAGGCATTCGCTGGGAGTCCAAAGCACAGGATCTGCTACGAGTGCCTGTTACGTGGCACAGAGCCCAAGGCCACCAACACCGAAGTAAGAGTTGAGCATTTGCAGTTTGGGATTTGAGAGCAAGCAGGTAGATTGTTTGCATTTTTGGAAAGAGTATTGCCGGTTTTGCTCCAAGGCTCAGCACTATCATTTACAGAAATAGCGTTTGCATTTTCCCATAATCTCCCGCTGTGGTCTTGCAACAAACCCGAGTGGTGTCCAGGCCCATGACTGCTCCCTTCAGAAGAGGAACCAGCACCAGACAGAGCAGCGGCTTGCCCGGGATCTCACAGCATACTGACACTAACTTGACTTGGAAGTCTGCTTCCAGGCTCTTCCCAAATACATATCGAGGTCTATCCTGGGGAACTTTTTAGCAAATGTAGTGTCCAGAGAGTCTGGTAGATGCCAGGTGGAGAATCTCTCTACCCTGGCTCCACCAGGAGCTGAGAAGGAGTCCTGTGGGTACTTGAGTTCAACAGAACAAGGTATATCGACCACTGAGGGGGGACCCAGGGCAATGGAGGGAGGCAGCAGTTTGGAGGAGCAACATCCTTCATAGAGTTGCCAACTTCTTATGAATGATGCCTGGAAAGTTGGGGCTCAGCTCACCGTCCCCAGCACTGTAAGGAAGTCAGTTCCTGGCCCTGCCTTGTCCTCCCTTCTCCAGCTTCCATGATCTTTCCTGTTCTAGTAGTCTCTATGCTTGTATGAACATAGAACTTTAAGAACAATACAGGTCCATCCCATCTCAGGTTGGCAGAAGAGGCACATCATTTAAACAACATTGTACTCTCCCTGGAAGCAAAATCCAGCTTTCCCAGTCTGGAAGGCAGAGGATGAGCAGGACTGGGAAGGGGAACTGAGACAACCTCCACATGCCAGGACTTTTATCTCCTTCGTGACAGGAGGTCAGGGACTAGATCACAGACAGAGTCCTGTTACTCACACCAGACAACTTATTAAGCACCAACTAGATAGTAGGCATCATGCTAGCTCCTAGGGATACACTGACAAGCAGCACAGACCCAGTGGGAGGAGCCATGCCTGCCAGCAGCTTGCAGGGGATGCAGGGAAAGGCAACCATGAATCCGAGGCTCAGGATGTGTCTGGAACACAGATGATGGATGACAAGCTGGGTGACGGAGTTTAGACTCCTCAGCATTGGCTCCATATGCTTCCACCTGTGGATGGAGACGGGTGCTCCCTACAGCTGGAGTTCCCATCCACTTGAGCCCATCCAGCTCCAGGGTTAAGGAAGATTTGTCTCAGGCAGTGAATGCTGGCCATGCTCAAGACCCTTCCACATTCTTGAGTTCTTGGGACCCCCTAAACCATTTTTTGCTTCGGGGGGCATTGTTCTAGTTTAAATTCTGCTGCTGTGGCTAAACGAAACACCCCCACCCGAGGAGATCAAGCAGCTGGTCACATCACACCCACAGTCAAGAGCGGGGAGAAATGAACGCACACACGAGGCCTGCTTGTCCGCTCAGCTAGCTTTCTGTGCTTCTGGTTGTTGTTGTTGTTTGTTGTTGTTGTTGTTGTTTTGGACAGGGTCTCATTATGTGGCACTGACTGGCCAGAACTCTATGTAGACCAGGCTGGCCTCGAACTCACAGAGATCTCCCTACCTCTGCCTCCTGAGTGCTAGAATTAAAGTCATATGCCACCACCCCTGGGCTCCTTCACTCTTACACAGTTAAGGACCCCTGTAGGTGCTATCCAAAGCGGGCTGGTTCTTCTTACATCAATTAGCAATTAAGACAGTCCTCAACAGACATGTTCTCAATCCAACCTTATCTAGGTAAGTCTTCATTAAGACTCTCTCTTCCCCTGGACTGGAGAGATGGCTCAGTGGTTAAGAGCACTGGCTGCTCTTCCAGAGGACCTAGGTTCAATTCCCAGCACCCACATGGCAGCTCACAATTGTCTGTATCTTCAGTTCCAGGGGATCTGACACCCTCACACAGACATGCATGCGAGCAAAACCCACTGCACATAAAGTAAAAACAAATAAATCATTAAAAAAGAAACAACCACTCTTCCCAAGTGATTTTTAGGTTGCATCAAGTTGATAACTAAAGCCAGCCATCACAGGCTTTCTCTTTCAGATCTACCATGGTAGAAATTAAACTAGAAAAGGTTAAAGCACAAGAATACACAATTTCATGCATACATTTGACTGGAAAACTGCACCACACACTTGTGAGGGGAGAGTTGGGAAAGCAAGCAACAGTTTTTCCCTGAAGAAAGGGCCTAGACAAGGATGCCTACAGGTCCCGTTTCCATCCACTCCACCCACTTCTGTCCGGCAAAAATGCCAGACAAGGCCTGCCTAGCAAGTGGTGCGGCGCTCGGCAGAAAGAGTACCAGTAGCAGGTCTAGGAGACTTTTAAAGGGTTCAGAGATGCTGGCAAACGTCTTTTACCTGGAATATCTCCTGGGATGAACAAAACACCAGGGTGGTAGAGTCAGCCCGGAGCAAAACAGAGTCCGCAGACCAGGAGTCCCGAGGGCTGGGGAAAGGCGGTGCCCACGTGGGGCCAGCTCCTGGCCATATAGTGAGGCCTACGCTCCCTCTGCAGTTTGCGGCACCCAGAAAGCCAACATCGTGGACGAGCCCAAGGAGAACCTCGTGGGCAGCAACGAGTTCCCCTGGGTGGTGTCCTTACAGGACCCACAGTACACCCACCTGGCATTCGGCTGCATTCTCAGCAAGTTCTGGATCCTCAGCACCGCCTCGGCTCTCCAACACAGGCTAGTGCTCCCCAGGGGGAGGGCTGGGCGGGGTGCCCTGGGGACTGGCGGGGCCTGCAGGGTAGACTCGGGTGTAGTCGCCTGAACCAAAGTCCTGGGGTCACCAGTGCCTCGGGGGACTTTACTACGAGGGCCGAGGGTGGCCGCAGTGAAGCGAGATGCCATTGGTTGTGTCTAGGAAGGCCACTTGTGATTTTGCCGCAACCACAGAGATGTGGGTTCTTTAATTCTATCCACCAGGTGTCCTTCCGGCATAAGTTAAGGAAATCAGCAGGACACCTTGGGCCTCACAAATGTCTGCCACAGCCAGAAGGGCACAGAGAAAAGCCGGAGGAAATCGGAGCTGCTCTCAAAATGCTTTTCTCATTGCGCTTGTTTGTGTTCCCCAAATTATATGCCATAAGCTCAAATTCTTACAGATAAAAAAATCATAAATATGATTAAAGGAAATATTTGGCAAATTGTAGAATACTTCACTTTTAGTCCAATCACCCTAACTTTTCAGAATCGGCGGTAAAGAGATCATTTTAACCTCTGGGAAAGAAATATGTCCTGCAGAAAGTTGTTCACTGGGTGGCTAATTACACAGAAAATGCCAGAAAGAACGTAAACATCAAGGGGGACTGTGGCGCAGGCCCGTGATCCCCGCACTTGGAGGGTGGAGGCTGGAGCACCAAGAGTTCAAGTTCTTCATCCTTAGCTGTATGTTGAGTATGAAGCCAGCCTGGGCTACCTGAGACTCCGCCTCAAAAACGAACACACACAAAACAGAAAACAACCAAATAAAAGCGAACATCCAGTTATCACAGATAAGCAGATTAATATAATCTCTTGCACACGCTGTGTGTGAGAGCATAGTGTGCATTACATAGACAGAGGGAGAAGGTCTAGCGAGTATCAGCTTGGTGACGTCGTCACTCTGGCGGCCAACGCACGCACGAATTTGTATGTTGTGCTTTAACCTTTTCTAGTTTTACTATGGGAGATGTGAAAGATTAAGCCTGTGATGATTTTGCGTGTGCATGTATAATGTGCATTGTGTGTGATGTGTGTGTGTGTGTGTGTGTGTGTGTGTGCGCGCGCGCGCGCGCGCGTATGTGTGTGTGTGTGTGGGCGTATCTTCCTCCACTGCTCTCCATTTTACTGAAGCAGGGTCTCTCACAGAACTTGAAGCTCACTAATGGGGCTGGTTTTGCCCAGAGTTCCCTATCTCCACCTCCTGAGTGCTAGAATTGCAGGCAGGCTACTTACCTTTATGTGGATGCTAGGAATCCAAACTCTCTGGTCCTCATGCTTGCAGAGAGCCATCTCCCCAGCCTGAGAGAACAATCAGTTTAATTAAGAAAAGAAATTGTAAACACACAATAGAATATTCTGTAGCTGCTGAAGTTGTAATACTTTATGGGTTTTTTGTTTTGGTTTTTTGGTTTATTTGTTGTTTTTTTTTCCCCGAGACAGGGTTTCTCTGTAGCTTTAGAGCCTGTCCTAGAACTCACTCTGTAGACCAGGCTGGCCTCAAACTCACAGAGATCTGCCTGCCTCTGCCTCCTGAGTGCTGGGATTAAAGCCATGCATCACCACCACCCGGTATTTGAGGTATTTTTAAATTTATTATTCTTTTAGTGTGCATATAAAATAATAGGCTTCATATGGCATTTTCATTTTTGTTTATTTTTTAAATTAAATATTTTTCATAAAATATACTTTAATCATGTTTTCCCCTTCTCCAACTCCTCTCTACCTCTCTACCTCTCTACCTTCTCAACTTTGTTCTTTCTCTCTTTTGAAAACAGAAATCAAAACAAGCAAAAGAAACATAAGATAAAAAGATGCCAAATAAAACAAAATGAAACCAAAAGTCCACAAAAATGTCACTGAGTTGGTTTTGTGTTGGCAACTACCCCTGGGCATGGGGCCTTCCCCGGAGTGTGGCTGAAGTCCTGGTTTTCCTTTGGCAGCAGGTATCAATTGTAAACAGCCTCTGGGTTAGGGCTGCTGCCTCTAAGTCCAGAAGGAAGAAGCCTGCTGATACTCTAACCTTGGGTTTTCTGTGTCCACTCCCCTCTCAGTGCTGGGATCCCGTCTGGCTGGAACCTGTGGAAGTTGTGTGTGTGCTGACACAATCTCTGTGACTTCATATCTGGAAGACATTGGTTCCTTGGAGTCATCCATTACCTCTGGCTCTTATAATCTTTCTGCTGCCTCTTCCTCATAGATCCCTGAGCCTTGAGAGGAGTTTAATGAACACATCCCATTTAGGACTGAGTGTTCCTAAGTCTCTCACTCTGCACATTGTCCAGTTGTAGGTCTGTCTTAATTCCTACTTACCTCAAGAAAAAGCTTCTCTGATGTGTGTTGACCAAGGCACTGATCTATGAGTACGTCATCAGGAGCCATTTTACTGCTGTGTTCCTTTAGGTTTCCCCCTGGCCCATGACCTGTCTAGTCTCAGGTTCTTGGCTACTCTGTATCAGGAATGGGTTCTAGCTCATGGAGTGGGCCTTAAATCCAGCCCCCCCCCCATGTGGTTGGTTACTCGAATAATGTTTGTGCCATTATTACACCAGTGTATTTTGCAGGCAGGTCACTGTTGTAGGTCAGGGTTTATAGCTGGAGGATATTGATGAGTACCTTTCTCCTCCGGTAGTGTGCAGAGTACCTTCCAGGACCATGAACACTAGTCAGTAGGAGTGAAGCTTCCAGTTAGACACCAGCTCGACTTCCCTGTGTTCAATGTCATAAGTGATGTCTTCAGCAACAGGGCCATACCATCAAGTTGTGGAGAGTAACCAACGGCCTTGGCAACTAGTCTGTGATGTCTGGGGGATTCCATGGGACCGCTTTGGCCAGTGACTCAATAAGATGTGACCCATTCCTGATACTGGAGGTTTACTTGGTACCATAGATGTCTACTTCATGATGGTGTTTTCAAGCATGTGTATCATTGTATTGTGCTCGGTCCGCTGTCATTACCTTCTGTTGTTCATGGTTCACCCTTGCTCACACTGGTCAGAATGTGGTGTGTGTGTGTGTGTGTGTGTGTGTGTGTGTGTGTGTGTGGTCTTGGCTTTTATTATTTAAAAAGGCTCCATACTTATTTCACTTTCTGACTCTGTGCCTGTCCCTTCAACACTTTCACAACTTTCTGCTCCTCAACAAGGGAGCATGCCCGACCTTCCATGGACATACTCAGCATACACGGAGCCACCATCGGCCCTGTTGATGTGCGTATTTGCTTCAGACAACCTCATAGGGACTTCAGGTCTTACAGCACAAACCCCCCCAAAGTCTGACTGAGATTCTGGTGCTTTCCCAACCTTCTTGGTCTAAAAGTAAACAGTCCTATGGCCAAGGGTTCCAGACAGCCTTGTGAGAGACTGTACTGCAGGAAAACCTACAGTGGTGTGTCAGACACGGACCATTCTGAGTGTGTCTCCAGAGGAGCCAGAGTTTATGTCTGTAGGTGGAAATCCATGCAGACAGTGGAATATCCACAAAGAAGCGGAGATTTGCACTGGGATCATTCCTCAGTCACTAGTTTCTCTCCCCGGTACCATCTTCTGTCATCACTTTTTTGGATGTTTTTCTTAAATATCTAATGTGTTCATGGATATCTATAGATCTTCCTATATCGATTCTTCTGTCTATTAACACAGAGTTCTCTCCCCCCCTAGACAGCTTTGGTTTCCATAACAAAATATCATAAACTGGGTGGTTTAGCCCAGAAAGTCCAGGCTAGAGTGTCAGAGGCTTGCTTCCTTCTGGACTTACATGCCTTCTAGGTGTGTCTTCACATGGTTATTTTCTTCTGTGTCAGAGTAAGACAGAAGACAGACTGTGGGAGTTTCCTGACATCAACAA